TTCCTCGACTAGTTTCGGCCAATATGGCCATCATCAGGAGAAAAATAATTTTCTGCTTGCTGGTAACAGTGAACTACAGAAATGAATATGTTGATGGAGAAACTGAACTTTTGTCTGTAGTTTTCATTTGTTTTTTTTATTTTTTAACATGAATTTGGTCAGTCTTTGTGTTGGTCAAACAGTCTCTTTTAAGTTGTTATTTGAAATAAGAGCTGGATGGATTCATGCTGCTCTGAAATCCCTTGGTCATTTTGACAGTTTTATCGGTTCCTGGAAAGGGGATGTGTCTCTGTTAAGTGTGTGTGTTATTTGCTTCTTAAGGAGTGAGTATGATGTGTGTAAGTGTGTATATTCGTGTGGTTGTGTATAAATGTGAGGCCTGAACACCTCCTTAAGCATGTTTGTTTTGTGTGGGTGAGAGATGTGGGTAGGTCCTGATTTGTGTGGTTATATATTAATACTATCTGTATCGTTAAATTTGTGATTAAGCCCGTCTGGATAGTGCGTTTTTAAACGTTGTATCCACTTATTTTCATGGAACTCTAAAATCTTTTCTAATGTTATCTGAATGAACTTTTCTATTCTCTCAATTATAAAATGAATTTGGCATGGGTTTTGAAATCGTGTTTTTCTAGGCGGAAATGTTGTTCTACAGGTAATAATTTTTCATTGGGAGTCGACTTAATTCGATTACGATAATTATTAATTCTGTAGTGAAAGGACCATTCAGATTTTCCTACATATTGTTTCTGGCATAGTGTGCATTCTAGGAGGTAAATTATGTTATGACTTCTACAGTTAGAATCGTGATAGATTTCGAAAGTAGATTTAGTGACTGAGCTAGTGAATGAATTCGTGTGTCTAATGTGGTTGCAGCTTAAGCTTCTTTTGTTGTTACATGGTTGGGAAAATCCTGTTGTTTTTGTTGTTAGTTTATTACGAATTACCTTGTCCCCTGAAATCTGGTTACTACCTATGATTTCTTTTAGATTCTTAGGTCTACGATATGCTAGAAGGCCGGGTTCCTTAAACAGTTTTTTAGGTCTGGTTTGAGATTTAGTATTTCCCAGCGACGTTTGATTATTTGGGATAGTGGAGGCAGAGTGTGATTGAAAATGGTTACTAGAGGGATGCAGCTGGGTTTATTTTTAATCTTGTACATTAGGGTGTCTTCTCTAGGTGTGGAAATTGCTTTATTTATTTGTTCCCTGATTAGGTGTTGTTTATAGCCCCGTGTTGTTAATTGATGCTCCAGATTTCAAATGTGTTTATTTAATTCTTCATTGTTGGAACATATCCTTCTGAGTCTAAGTGTTTGTGAATAGGGAAGGTTCTCTTTGAGGTGTTTAGGATGGGAAGACTTAAAGTGTAGATAGTTGTGGGTGTCGGTGATTTTAGTGTGTAGTGTCATTTGTAGTTTCTGTTTTCATCTATGTAAAAGCGGATTGTCTAAAATGTTACCGATCTTGTGGATTTTACATAATCAAACTTAATTGAGTCGTGAACTGTGTTTAGGGTCATGAGGAATTGATGAGTTTGTCGTCATATATATATATATATATATATATATATATATATATATATATATATATTATTCTTTATTTTATTTCATTTGATTTCTAGTGTGTACAGATTTCTTTCCGCCCAAAGACCTAAGGTCAGAAATGACATCATGGCATTTTCCACTGAGCAATTAAAAACACACACACAGGCACATTTTACATAGATAAAGTCCTTCGTAAGGCGTGGTCTGTTCTGGTGAGAACAATGTTCTGTATTTCTTTAAGGCATGGGCTTCCACTAATCCCTTCAATGAGTTTATTGGAATCTTTTCCAATCAATCCGAGGGCTCCAACTACAACAGGGATTGTTGAAGTTCTCATGTGCCACATTTTTGAGATTTCGATTTCAAGGTCCTTGTATTTTGATAGTTTTTTGAAGGTCTTCAAAGATACATTGGAGTCTGCAGTGACTGCCATATCAATAAGGAGGCACTTTTTTGTTTATGGTCTCTAATGACAATGTCTGGGCGGTTAGCTTTAATTATTATTATTATTATTGCTGATATTGCTACGGAAATAAAATATAAATTATTTCAGTAAATAGATCAAAATATTCATAAATGGGTAGGAATAGTAATTCACTGGGAACTATGCAAATTAAACTTGAAATAAATCCTCTGTATAAAAGATTAAGGCTTCTTGGGTACTTTTTTTATTCAAACTATATAGACTTTATTCAAGTAGCTGTTAATATTGAAGAAGTGTCATTGTATGAAAATATTCAAGCAGAAGACCATGTAGCACTGAAAGTGAAAAGATCTACAAATATATTAAAACCTACAAGAGAAATAAAGCAAAATTGTAGATAGTGAATAGAGTAGCAGAATACAGTTTAACACTGAATGTAAAAAGTTCGGTAATGAATTTGATTGTTTGTGTTTAGGGATTTGGGTTTGTGGTTTAATGTCAAATCTAAATATTTGGTACGAAATTTTATTTTATTTTTCTTTAGATAACAATGATTTTAGTGACACAAGTCTTACTAATTAACCCATAGCTTGGGGGAGAAAAGGTGGATTCATAACTTTCCCAAAGGTATTTGCTCATAAGTGAAAATAACGAATCTAATTGCAATTAGAATTCGGCTCTCCAATTAACAATTCCGAGCCGTTATCCATTACACCACCCGCACATCCAAGCTTAAAGCACCTGGTATTCTCAATAACTCTCACATCTAGGTATTAATGTGGCCGCAACCATTAAATATATTAAATGCTACAAGAGAAATAAAACAAAATTTCCGAATGTGATGTAGTATCTGTAGCTATAATTAGTCGGTCAACTGGAACGATTTTGGCAACTTCTCCCCGTCCTGCATCAGACGATAAACCCCTGAGTATGACGATAAACTACATCCGCGTCCTGGGTAAGACAATAAACTACATCCACATCCTGGGTAAGACGATAAACTACATCCGCGTCCTGGGTATGACGATAAACTACATCTGCGTCCTGGATATGACGATAAACTACATCCGCGTCCTGGGTAAGACGATAAACTACATCTGCGTCCTGGATATGACGATAAACTACATCCGCGTTCGTTATGACGATAAACCACATCCGCGTCCTGGATATGACGATAAACTACATCCGAGTCCTGGGTAAGACGATAAACTACATCCGCATCCAGGATAAGACGATAAACTACATCTGCGTCCTGGGTATGACGATAAACTACATCCACATCCTGGGTAAGACGATAAACTACATCCGCGTCCTGGGTATGACGATAAACTACATCCGCGTCCTGGGTAAGACGATAAACTAGATCCGAGTCCTGGGTAAGACGATAAAGTACATCCTCCAGCAAGGACTCTGATCAGGAGGTTTTGAGGAGCGTAGAACTACCTCTTAATTGCTGGTCTTCCCACGTCCACTCTGATCCGAGGTGGTAGCACTTGTTAGGGTCCAAGCTATGGGCAAATAGTTAACCCCCAAAACTGAGGTCAAAACACTATGAAAGTGTAAAAATATGTTTTATTACCAGCAATACATTTTTCTAAAAGATTATTACCAGCAATGAAATTTTGAAGAAAAATTATTACTGGCAATACATTATTACCAGCAAAACTTTTTTGGAAAAAATATTTCCAACAATACATTTATGTTAAAAAAATATATTAGCAGCAATATATTTTTGAAAAAATATTACCAGCAATAAAAATCTTGTTAAATAACACATGGAGGTTGATATGCTGTAAAACAAAATAAACCAAACCAATCTAAACCAAAGAATACATATTCTATTCATACGAATCTATCCTAAAAATGTTTTCGGCATTAAATAACCCATTGAGGTTGATATGCCGTAAAACAAAATAAACCAAACCAATCTAAACCAAAGAATACATATTCTATTCATATGAATCTATCCTAAAAATGTTTTCGGTCCATTGAGGTTGATATGCCGTAAAAACAAAATAAACCAAATCAATCTAAACCAAAAGAATATATATTCTATTCATACGAATCTATCCTAAAAATGTTGTCGGCATTAAATAACTCATTGAGGTTGATATGCTGTAAAACAAAACAAAGCAACTTTTCCAGAATTAAATACAGAATTAAAAATCCGAGAAGAAAAATAACGTTTTAAACATCTTTGATGAGATCAATTAGATTGATGTGAATGACTAAACATTTAAGGGAACTACGTAAGACTGATGTAAACATTTCTGTACTACTAGTAGTACTACTACTACTACCATTACTATTAGAATAGAATAATTTCAAAGTATTTTTGTAGGGCGTTGAAGATTCATTATGATCGGGAAAAGGTACAAGAAAGAAGCAAAACCATAATTGAATACGAAATGAACTTTCATTGCCAACTTTCTTGCTCAAAGCCATTGAACTCATCTCTTAAAAGTTAAAAGGGGAAAAGTACAAAACAAAACTAAGAGTTAACATTAGTTGTATAACTGCGAAGAGGTAGAGTTACCTTCTCTTTTTTTTTTAAGCATTTTTAAATGTGTGATCAGAATCCGAGAGACGGAACTGAAAGGCGAGAGAGAGAGAGAGGGAGAGAGAGAGAGAGAGAGAAAGGCCATTTTTAAAGGTGATTACGTAGAAGCAAAAGGCGTGCAAACACGTTGGGTAAAATGCAATCGAGAAGTGAGCTTAGAAAGCCAGCGCTAAAAAAAAAGAGTCCAGATCCATAGTGGTAAAAAAAATTTAAGTGAATCGCCTCGAGCTGAATTAGGCAGAGCTTTTAAATTTTCATATTGTATTCAGGTTTTTGTATTCAGCCAATGGATGGCCCGAGGGAGAGCAATGACGGACCTCCTACCCAACGCTGCTTGTTGTGATTCCGGGTGGAAAGGATTCATACTTTTTCACTCATTCTTCATGCGAATTTATTGATATTCTCTTATGAGATTAGACGTTATATATCAGTGTATTTATTGAGCCGTATTTCGAAGCCAATAATGTATG